TAGACACAACCCAACAAGACATTAATAGTCTAATTAAGATGACTATTTTAATCAAGCTCAGTTACCACCTATTATGAAGATACTTGTTTTATATATAAACCTTTACACACACACACACACACACACACACAAATATATATGTATATATATATATATATATATATATATATATATATATATATATATATATATATATATATATATATATATATATATATATATATACACTCACATATATGTGCAAAAGTTTAATCTACCTTTGGTGCCTATAAATAAATTGCACTAGGAGCATATTGCTAATCATTGCTAATCAAGTGTTCTGATAGTAACATGTTGCTGTTGAGGCTGATGATTGCCCTAATAATTTTGCAAGACCCTAAACCTGGATTAGGAATTTGGTGATAAAATTTTGTCATCCTAACTCTGTCCCTGTAGAATGTCTACCCAAGCAGCACTAACTGTGAAAAACTAACCCGTCTAGCAGAGCACAAAGGCCAGCTAACCCTTGCTCAGTGTCTTCCAACTCTCACACACACACACACACACACAGACTCCCCACGATGTGGCGGCGGGTTGACAAGCCTGTCTGCCAAACAACTCAATTAAGCAGAAAAGAAGGGGAAGAAAAGCTGAGAGAGAACAGAGGAGTGAGAGAAGGGGAGCGAAAGAAAGCGGCCTGTTCCCTGTCAGCTGCACGGCCAGGGTGAAAGGGGGCTCGCCGAGAGAAAAGAGTGGAGCATGGAAGAAAGGGGAGAGTGAGAATAGAGGCCGAGCTCTGTGATGTGTTAACTGGCATTGCTGCCCTCGGGCAAGCTCAGGGAAACAGGTCAAACTGGGAGCCACAGGGTCATTACCACGCCAACAGAGACACCCAGGCTGGAAAGTGTGTTTGTAAGCGTGCGTGTGTTTGCTCTTCTCTTCACATTAACTGAGTTAACTGTGCCAGAATGGACACAAGAATAGTGTGTGTGTTTGCTTACCTCTCCACACAGGAGAAAGTTTGAACACTGAAACCCTTAAGGATCTCATCATAGTTTTCAAGCATAATTTATTAAAAGCTATAAATCACAAACACATAAAGATTTAAATAATTGGCACTACGGTTGTTCATGATGTTATGGCATGTGGATTAGGTTTAACAATAACAATATTTGTCTTGAATCCATCCTGGAGGCTCCATGAGAATCTTATGCGAAATCAATAGGGGAAATTACGAAAGCCACAGGGGAAATTGGGTAAAGAAGAACTGTTATGGAAACCTGTGTGTGTGTGTGTTTGTGTGTGTTAAAAGTGGGAGCTGAGTGGAGGGTTAATGGCACAGGTCATTACTAGGCCCAGTGAGTGAGTGTACTGGGTTGAGCTGCACTGTGGTCAGGAATTTAAGGGGATGGGGGTACAGGAGGTGCTAAGTTAAAGAGATAAATAAGAGGGGTGGGAAGCGAACAGGGTCTGCAGCTCCACCCTCCTCCTCCTCCTCCCCCTTACCATTCACATGTTCAAATTTATTGCTCAGCATTTCCTATCCCTGAGACTCCCCACGTTGCATCCAGTGACTCTGAGAAAAGGTGGAAAGACAGTCAGAGGAGAAGAGAGGAGAGGAGAGAAGACAAGTGAAAAGCACAAAGCTAGAAGACAGTAGCTTTTTAACAAAAAGAAGAAGAAGAAGAAGAAGAAGAGGCTTTATTACAGTGGAGGAAAAAGAAAAGCTTAGAAAAAGAGGAGAGGATTCCAAACCTACACTGTCAATAGGACTTATCTCCAGAAAAGCCTTAGGTCTGGCTTAATCTGTGAGTCACACGACAGCCCTCTTAGAAATTGCTAATCAAGATAATCTATTTTAAAGAAATACATTTACTTTTGGTTCCTTTCCCCATTCTACATGTATGTGTTAGTCTGTGTGATATATTGAAGACTCTCTCATCCTGTGTGAGGCAGTGAGAGGTTGGAGATTTGGTTGGAGAAACGAAAGAAAGAATCCAGGGCAGGGAGAAATAAATCTTCAAAATGCCCAGTGGGTCTGAAAGGAGGAGTGGAGGCCTTCTCACACTCATTCTTTCACCCAAAAGCCACACGATGGATGGCCCTCAATTACTCTTCAACTATGTTCACACATGCATTTGCACAGTTAAACCAAACTTTAACTGAAATAAAGTAGTTATAAATAAACCAGAACTATGCATTTTTACAATACTACATAAAAAATCTGTATGATGTAAAGTTATTGCAAACCAATACTGAACATGCTCAGTTATTAAATATCTGAAAAGCTCTTGATGGGCAGTGTATGTTTTCATGAAAAATGTTTTACCAAAGTGCTGTTGAATGTCAATTATGATTGGCCAGAAGGGGTTGATTAATTTTCCTTAAAGTTACGGCTCTGACAGTAGTGCCAACTGCACCATGTTTATATTAAT